GGCCTGTCCAGTTAGTGTGGATAAAGTTTCCTGGTTTGGCCAAGAGTTCATAGGTGTGAGCCCCAAAATAATCCTGCTGATCCTGGATCAGGTTGGCTGGCAGCGTCTCATGTCTGTATCCATCATAGAAGGAAAGAGCAGTGGTGAAGCAGGGCATGGGGATGCCTGCCTGGACACCAGTACTAACTGCCCACTGCCAGGACTCCTGGAAATTTTTGACTATTGACATAAAGAAGTCATCTAGTAGTAGGTTTTGAAGTTCTGGGATTTCACCGAATTCATCTTTGATCTTTCCTAGGAATATGCTTTGGATGATGCAGCCCCCCCTCCCCTTACACACACATCAAGGCAATGCCACCATAGTTGAAGGTCCAGCAAATTCAGTGGCTGTCTGTCTTAGCAGCAGAAAGCTTTGAGCATAAGAGATGCTCTTGGAAGCATAGAGGGCCTTTTAAATATCCTCCAGGAATGATTTTTTATCAGCTTTAAACTGGATCTTTTGAAGATCCTTCAACTATTTGCTAGCTTAAATCCCCTAGTCCTTCAGGAATGATAAGCAGTGAGCAAAGACTACTTCTCCAATGAGGGTGACAGGAATGCAGTACCCAGAGCTTAGATGGCGGTCCACTTCCCAGTGCCCTTCTGCCCAGCACAGTCTCTGATCTTTGGCAGCAGAGATGTACCATCACTGTCTTGGAACATGAGAATATTGGCTGTGATTTCAATCAGGAATGAGTCTAGCTCTTCTTATTTCATTCCTCAAACACTTGTGCCATCTTCACATGCTCCATGCCCAGAATTCATCGGGTGGTAGGCCTCACAGATGAGCTGCATGTCACCATATTATATCCCACTGTGCACCATCTTCATAAAGTGTCCTGCTCCCACATCTCAGCCCAGTCATAGCAGGGTTCTCCAGTTCCTACTTTGGCCACGATGCCCTGGAAGATTGTCTTCATGTGGGGCTAAGCTTTTTTGTTCCCTCTTGGCATAAGTGATGGGGTGTACCAGGCTCCTTCCATTCCACCATTAACTCTGTTCCCCACAAACAAGATTCCCTTGGCCTTGATGTCTTGACATAGTCTTGTGGTATCCCTGTATTCAGAATTTCCTCCATTGATGATGATGTCACAAGTGTCCAACAATGGTACCAATTTTTCCATGAAATCGTCAACAGCTTGACCAGCCTTCTCAAGCAGTATAATCCACAAGCTTCTTCAGCTTGGAGACCATATCCTCCTGGGAGTGAGCACCAACTAGTTTGGTTCCTTTTTCCTCATTGGCCAAGAAATATCAACTTTGAAGACTGTCTTATTAAAAACACAGACCACAAAACCATGATCATTCATGTTCAAAATTAAGTTCTGGCTCATGACTGTCAATGCAATCAATGCAAGATCAGTTTGGGCCACAGCAGCAGCATAAGCAGCAGACAAGGCTGGAGCAAAGAGAGGCAAAGAGCAGAGAAGGCACACTGGGGTGACTGAGGCTGAGTCCTGCTGTGTAGTCTGTGTGTGTCTTTCAGCCTGAAGTGAGTCTTTTGTAGGCAGCATATGTAAGGGTTCTGTTTTCTTA